AAGTCTGATTACACAACCGGTCCTCTCCAATTCCCCAGTGATGTCTGCCAGCTCTGCGCAGCCCAGCCTGTGGGACCTCACTTGGCACCAAGCCTCTCCCCCACCACCCAGCTCTTGTACTCATCTCCCTCTTTTTCAGTTTAATTAATAAATTTCCCATGTGGCTACACAAGAAATGCTTTAATGAAGTCCGGATAGATTAGATTTTTAGACAAGGGAAATGTAGTAATCTTACCAAAACCAGATATTATCAGGTGAGTCTGGCATTTTTATGCCATTTTTCATTTATCTCTATTTATTCTCTCATTAAGTTTTGCTCTAAATATTTTTAAAAATTTTTTGATGACACCTAGGTCTGTAGTTGCCCTGGCACTACTTCTCTTTTTTTCCCTAAAAATAGCTACTACTTTTCCTAGTCTTCTGAGACTGTTACAGTAGCATCAAGGATAATTTGATAGATTTGAATAGCAAATAGTTTAAAACAATGTGTGATTCCCTCTTTTGGGTCTCTCAGTATTTTGGGTTGGATATTATCTGCTCCTCTTAATTGGACCGTATTTAAACACCAAGTGCTGCTCCCAGACTGGGTGAAATAATGTAATTTTCTAAATCTCTGTTCTATCAGTTGTACTCTGTACAATCTCTGTTCCTACAAGATTCTGACCCATTGCTAGTGCTGTGTTAAAAAGAGCTTAGGAGAAGTATTTGGTAGTGGAGTTATACATAGATTATCTGAAATCTTCATCAAACTTTTAAACTTCTAAAAAAAATCCTATTTACCTTAAAAAGACTAATTCCAGAGGTTGGACATGTCTTATTTTATCCAAACCCTTTCTGAAGTCAAAGAAGTATTGTTTATTGGCTAAATAATTCTTTTCCCCCTATCACTTAGATGCTATCTACTCCTCACATCTTTAGGTTTCAAGTTTAACATTCTCTGGGATGCCAAGTCAACATAACTTTAGGACTTCCTCTGCATAACGTCCACCAACTTTTCAGTCCTCTCAGTTTTACTAACTGGCCCCTGAACTTCCATTTTTTTTTCTTTTTAATGACAAATTATAGCGATGACCTGTTTTTGTTCTTGATTTCTTTTTATCACTCAGTTCAAGTGAATGGTAATGCCATCAAGAAGGAACTATATGAGCATAAGGAGTTGTTTTTTTTTTTAAGCTGTTAGAAATTCTTTAGTTCCTGATTTACTTTATGAGGATGTGTCTCAGCTGAAGGAGAAAAATCAACCGAACTTCTGCAGGTGTACAGATACTTATGCTGGAAAGGAACTGCACCAGCTGATAACATGGATTTTTCTGACTTTCACTGTTGTTAGAATGGCTGGACCACTTAAAGATAAAAGTAAACATTTTTAAAAGAACACAGTTTTTGTGCCTTTCACTATAAAATGTAGGCACTTTTAGACCACTTTCCATAACACAGCAAGATAATTAATTTATAAACCAAATGCTTAATTAATATTATAATTTAAAAATCTACTCGTGGAATTCTGATAGTGAGCTAGGAACTTTTCAGAGATATATGGAGAAAAAAGTCAGTCAAAAATCATACTAACTAAAGAAACATTTTCTAATTGCCACTGTTTGATGAAGGGGCTAATTTTCATTAGGTTTTGGGAAGTATTTAATTCTTTAGGGTGTACATATATGTTTGAGATTGTTCTATATTCGTATGCACTCATAGTCTCAGCATCTTCATATCACTTCTTAGATTGAAATAGTGCTGTTAAATGACTCAAAGGATTCTCAAAAACTTCAGTGTTAGTATCCTCAGTTTAGGTTAATTTTAGATTTCCCAGCAGAATAATTATATGAGGACAGACATTCTGATGTACAAGTAAAATAAGGAAAATAGCTGTTACACTGACTTTCACTGTAGTGATGTATTTGCAGGATAGGTGTGCACAGAAAATGGGCTATAAGCCAGCAATCTTTATAAAATTCAGTGCAACATGCAAGAAGTTGTGTTACAAGCCTTGCAGTGTGGGTCCAGGCTGTGAAGCTTTATCATCATTGGTATTTATTACCTGTGTTGCAGTTGTGAAAAGAAACTTGCAGACCAGGGCTCCAGATTCTATTAGAACAAGAGTTAAGGACAAACTCAACTCTAATCACAACAGAAATAAAACCGAGGGGACCATGTCACACACTAACAGCCCCAGCCACTGAAACTCAATAGATATATTCTAGTTTGAATTTAGAGTTCCAAGGTGAGGTTCAGTCAGCTAATTTCAGTTATTTAAAACCTATCATTCCAGCCTAAGGAAGTCACTTTAGGTTTCCCTATGGTCAGTCTCTCCCAGAGGCAGAGAAGCTCCTTTGAAGGATGAGTTACTCCATCTCACTTGTGATGCCCATGACAGAAGGAATAGATCATCTCCCTCTTTAAGTTTTAATATCTCTAGTGAAGATAGGGGTGATGTACACTGCTGTCTGAGACAGCTAGATAAGGTTAACCCCATGCCAACACATGCCCATAAGCATCCAGCTCTAAGCAGCTTTATACCTGTTCATTTAAAGGTTTAGAAAATAGGTATTCCTTCTTAGCATCCTAATTCAAACACTGTGTTTATACTTTACACTGAAAAGTTGCTAATAAAACCCCTCAAATTATTACTGCATAGGTAATACAGGGAACAGGGGACAGAATCCAGGATTGCTTTTTTCTCCAGAGAATAAAAAACAAGCTAAAGACTAAGGATCCTGCTTGTATATCCAACTTCAAGAACAGTAAGCAAATCTGCCCTCCAGTTTCTCCCTAAGTTGTCTACATCCTGGTAATTTGGTCATTCTTTGGATGTGTGTGCAGTGAAATTTTTAATCACATTAGGGTGTGGTAGAAGCTAACAGTGTCTCTGCATCTTGGGTGCAAGTTCTGGCTTCCAGTAGACTATAATGTCAGATATGGGCATTAACCTCTCCCCTCCTGGGAATGGCTCTTAAAAGAAAACAGCATGTCAAAATCCATTCCTTTAAGAAATAGATGAGGGCCCCTTCTAGCAGCAAATGATGAAATCCCTGCTCCCCAAGAGTTGCATCTGCACAGAATCATAGAATGTTTTGGGATGGAAAGGATCTTAAAATCATCTAGTTCCAGCCCTGCTGCACATGGCTGAGTGCTGCAGGTAGCCAGTTACACTGAAAGAAAATCTTTGAGACACTCCTTTTTTTGGACCCCACTGGATAGTATTAGGAGGTTCTCTGCTGTATCCATGTGGTTTTGGTATCATTTTGGGTGACTAACTCACTTATGCTTTATACCTGTCTTGGCTCCTAATTCGGGGCTTTTGCATACACCCTACTGGCACCTAAATACTTTAATGCATCTGTCTCATGGTTAAGCCCCAAGATACACAGTGCTTAGGCTTATGGAAGAAGGGAGCAGGTGGGTGAAAAAGATGCAAATGAGAAAAAGAAAATTGGGAACAAGATGTTACAGTAAGACAAGCATTTAAACCATAAAAAAACCCCTTAAAATTGTATAAATATTAAGCAATAATGATTTACCTTAAACTCCCCACAGATCTATTGAAAAGAAGGTATGGGTCTGCAAGCCTTTTCAGGATGAAATGCAGATTGTAGCAACTGCTAGCAGGGGAAAGTACAACTTAGTGTGAGTAGGAGAGTGAGACATATGCGGAGGCTATGCATGTACCAGAATTCAGGAGTGACATGACATTCACATGGATAGAAAGAATATTCAGCATTACCGCAATTAATGATGAAAAAGAGCTGTTGAAAGAGATTTAAAACTTGTGCTCCAAGCACAGCTTTGAACAACAAAAGGCCAAGAGGAAATTTAATAGGGCAGTGCAAACTACTCCAAGTATCCTCATATAAGAGCTTTACATCTTCTCCTGAGGTATCTGATGGTGGCCAGTGTCAGAGATCAGATGCTAGGCTGGCAGGATCTTCTGTCTACTTTAGCCTGGCAATCCCTATAAAGGCTGGTTTTTAAGAAGTTTGTGACAGTCGATGTCTAGATTATTTTAACAGAGTATAAATTTAGCATCCTCCTTCTGAATGAAGCGTTTAGGTAGCAGAGTTAATGCTATATCAATTCAAATGAAAAATGCTGTGAGAAAATAGAAGGGGAGAAGATTAATATTTGAAAATTAGAAAGTAATTTTCAGTAACAGAGGTGGACGGCTGGTTGACAAACGCATAAATTAAGACCTACAGAAAACAATGGCTCCTCATAGAGAAGTCATTAGCAGTGATCCAATAATTTACATTTTATATAAGTGACATTCTTTTTACATTTTTTTCCCCTTTCCACTAAAGGTTAATCCCTATAAGCACACAATTCAAACTGCTATCACTTTGCATTGATATTGACAAGGACTGCAGGTGCTCAGCATCTCTCTGTAGGTGTTTGTCATGTTGGACCTGGCCTTTGTTTTCACAGCCAGCAAAGCAACAGTAAAAATTGCACTGGCTGCAGGGAAGTAGAATTCATTCCTGCTGGCCAGGCACAGCTTAGCAACAGGATTTATACTGTATACACACAGGGAGAAGCTTTTGATTTATTTCAGGTAACAAAGATGTCTTTTTCCAGTGATCTCTGCGTATGTACAAATATTAAAATATGTATTGAAAAATACAAGCAAGAGAGAGGTGCCGTCTCTGGAACACATATATCCTTCCAGACCCTTGCTTGACCCCAAAGTTGCGCTCTCCTGTCACTGACCCATCTAATCACTTTTGTGCTGCTTTCTCAGAAAAGGCCTGGGAAAACCCATCAGCTTTGCCATGTAATCTGAAGGTCAACACATTTTCATTTTCTTGGCCAATTTTCTTTGACCAAGGCTTAATATCAGGTCATTCAGAAAAAAATCCTATATTTTATAAAGCTGTTACTTTCAGTATTTCAAACAGCATTCAAAATACTGTGTAATCAACTAATGGTCTTTATATCTGGCTCTAAGAGGCATTAGAACAATAATTTTTGCAGAATAACACAGCAAGTTTCTTTTTCTTTAACAGCAAAGAAGAAATAGTGACAACGTCTGACAATGACACGTGGAATAATTCAAGGACTTCAGGTACAACACCCTGTTTAATTAGTTCTTCCTTACTGCACATGTTAATTAAAAAATAGTGTAACAAACAACCTCATGGAAATTATTCAAGTATGTTTTGTTAACCCTTCAGGAACAAACATCCCAGCAATTGTTTATTCACAAGCAGAAGACAAAGACACCAAACCAGATAAAGAAAACAGAAGAGATAAAAATGCAGAATACAACCAGGGTAATCATGAAGAAGATGAAAAAGAATTAGAGTTGCTGGTAAGTGTTATACAATTATATCTACAGTATTAAATGATTTGAATCCATTTACGCTTCAAAGCTGGTGAAATGCCCCCTTTTAACAGAGCTGACTGATGTACTAATTTACAAATGTAAAGCCCTGGTCTGTACTTTCATTGAGTCTCTAACCGATTCAACAATAGAAGGTGCTTTGATTTCAACATAGTGCATCAACTTTTTCTGGTCTTAAATTAATGACTTCTCCATTTTACTTCTTTGCCAGAGCCTCTGAAGGACAGTTTGAAGGAATTATAAGAGTAATATTTTAAAAACCTGTCCTCCTAGAAAGTAGGATAGGAATATTCTTAAATAAATGTTTTGTATTTGGCAAAATTCTTATATTTATGGTACTGTTTGCTTTTGGGGTTTTTCAAAGGATAACTCTGTAACATGCTATATGAGCAAAATAAATATATATATTCATATTAGCAGATTTTTCTATATCTGTATTCGACATTAGATTTTTTAAAATAAATTGCACACTCAGTGAACATTCAATGTGTTTGGATTTGTGTGTGTGTGCTTTGGCTTGCATTTTTCAGTATGAAAGAAAAAATGGCAATAAATGAGACACGTACAGCAATCTATTATTCTCAGTATCTGTTCTCAGCTCATATCATTTGGGTGCATAGATTCATAATCATAGATTATAATAGCTATCACCTGTGAAAATGTGAATACTGAATCAGACAGGGAAGGAAGATGAGAACCATTCTTTTTTTTTTTTTTTTCTTATGGATAGAGAATAAATTCCTCTTATTTGAATATAAAATTTTCTTATCTTTTACTTTAAAAAAGTTGAAAATTGTTGCCTATTTTGGGACCTTTTTTTTTTAAATGGTGAAACATATAAAGGAGGACCTCTAAAATCCTCAGTCCACCCTGTTACTAAAAGCAGGATCAAATATAACCATTTGTTTGGCGATTGCCAGGATTGTCCATACAATAAATGAAGGGGGAGCTATAATTTAGATGTTAATTTGCACTATGCTCTCTTTAATGAATTAAACAATGAAGGCTTATAATAGATGGAAATACAACCAAATCTTTGAAACGCACAGGCATTGGCTCACAAGACAGCTGTGCAGTTGACAAGTAACATGAGCCTTATGTGAGAAGAAGGGGAAATCGTAAGATTTGCATATAATTATTGAGATCATGCAAATGTCAGTTATGAGGAGGGGAAAAAAACACAGGCATCTCACTGTTAAATCCTGACAGTTGGCATCACCGAAGAACTCAAATACACTTGAGCACTGGTTGGCAGAGGGTCATTAAAACAGAATTTGCAGAGACATTAGCTCCCTCACTTTTCTTTGAGTGACGTTTTACTATTAATAGTTTGCAGAGGCTTTGCAGAAAACATATTAATAAGAGAAACTGTAATGGGAGTATCTACAGCAAGTGCAAATGCATAAAGGGGTGCCCAAGAAGCTAGCCTCTAATTGATTAGCTGGTGCTATCAGTGTGACTACGCTAAAGTGAAAAGTGAGTGCAATGACAAGCAGGCATAGCTGAATAATACAATATGATATTTGGGAACTAGGAGGAAGAATGATTAGTTTCTGGCCTTTTACTTTGCTAATCTCATTTCCAACTCATGTCTTACCAGACTGTCTAAAAACAGTCTGGTTTGAAGCCTGTAAAATGGTCCCTGGGAGAAATGAAGCACAGATAATCCTTCCAGTATTTGTCAGTGTGAAATGTGTCTTTATTTTACTGGACAATACTGTACATTACCAGGCTTTGATGTACTATATCAATGCCCTTATTTAAGCACCAATCCTCCCCCCTCACCCACAACTCCCTCCCTCCAAACCTAGAACCAAATTTATAGAGACTGAATTAGCCTCCCTTTAAGGAAATATTCTCTTCAGATTTAATTTGTATAAAATGCACTAGCAGCTTACTGAACTCATGAATAAAGAGAGAGTTCTGAATGCTGTTTTATTTCCCACTCCTTTCAACACCACCCTAAAGCTCATTACCTATGTTAAAAAATACATACAATGCAAATTTTGCGAATGGTTTGGAACATGTTTCTGTAAAAGCTTTGTTATTGAAAACAAAACTTTCCATAACAAAATCCTGCCTTCTTCATTAGTAATCTTTTTGCAAAAGCAGTTTTTGATCATTCTTTTATGTTCTATTGTTTCAGCTAAGTCAGAACTTCGCAAGAGCTAGAGGTACCTCTTCCAGAGATGAAAGAAACTTACACACAATAGAACCAGTTAATTTTCCTAGTGAAACTGAAAGATTGGAGGAAAAGCTAACCTGGACAGAAAGAAGCAGTCACTTGCACCCTGTGCCTATCAGTTCCTCATCTGAAAACGCTTCAGAAGGGATAAGAGAATTAAAAGATAAAGTCAAGTATTCCCTAAGAGGTTATGATAGTCAGCCATCAGGGAAAGAAGCTGCTGCTGGCTCAGTAAAGAGTGGTGAGCGGTCTTTGGAATGTACTGGTACCAGTGAAAGCCTTTTATCAGCAAAATATTTTCCTGGGACAAAGCAGAATGAGGCTATCGATATTACAGCTACTGTCTCAAGCAGACAAGGAGAGAGCCACACAGATATTTCAAAAGGTGAAAGAGATAGTGCCTCAGGAAGTAAGATGATGGAGAGGTTATTCATCACTGAGGATGATGTTGATATCTCAAAAGGGGCCTGTGAAACGAGGCCAGAAACCATTTCTCCAGAGCATGATGAATCTATGCAATTAAATGTATGCATAGCAGGGATGCTGGATGGCAATGCTAATCCAGCTCTGGAGCACCAGGCACTGCAAATGTCTCACCAAACTCTGGATTCATTGTTGTCAGGCGCTGACAAAAATGAAGGAAAAATCAAGATGATTGAAAGCAAAGTTCAGGTACACTTAAGAGGAGATTTATATGCTGACACTTTTGCACGTGCTGATGTCTCAATAGATTCCACACAAAGCCAATATACACAAAAAAAAGGAGATGGTGAAATGTCAGGAAAGAACTATAACACTGATGCAGGGAATGAGAAGAAAGTCATCGAAGTAGCAGACTTAACAATAATTGGTGAGGAGGAAGCACCCAAGCCTTTCAAGTCACATAGAAAACATGCCACCAAAGCATTGAACCCAATGCCTCTGTCAGCTGAAGACAACAAACAGCCACCCAGGTCTGCAGATTTGCCAGCGTCCTTTCCGGAGGATGAAAGAAGAACTGAGGACACGCGGGAACACGGAGGATTCAGGAGGTTAAAAGACAGAGGGAAGTCAGAACACACAAGTAAAGGAAGACTGATAGGAAAGGAAAGTGAAGCAAACCCCGTAGAGTGGAGTTGGCATGAAACGGGTAGAGAGGTTCGGTGGGGAGCAAGGGGGAGCACAGAGCCTCAGAGTACGGCTTCCACAAGGGAGTTGTTTACCTGCCAGGAGGCAGAGAGTTGTGAGAAGTCTTCTGTCTCTGAGCAGGGTATTACAGCAGAAGCAGAGGCAGGTACAGCTTATATAATTAAAACAACATCAGAAAGTGCTCCAGAAAAAATGTCTGCCAGTGAAAAAGCAGTAATTGCTAAGCTACCTCAAGAGACTGCACTAAGTGACAGGCCCACAGAGGAAAAGGAAACAGCGTTTGATACACATGAAGGGAGAAATGATGGTTCACATTATGCTCTTTGTCAACTCAACACAGTGGGTGTATTATATGACACTGAATTTGAAAAGGAATCAGTTTTAGGTATTTATAATGCATGCGTACATGAAACACTGCAAGGAGAAACGATGTCTGTATGCAATAGCAAGGAAAAGCGTGCCAAAGCACAACCAGACATGGGCAATATTCTACCTGTAGGAGAAACAGTAAAGGCTTCTTCCACAGGAAAGAAGGAGGATCTGAAGCAAGGCTTATGTTCAGAAGTATCTCAGTGTCCCCTGAGCGCTCAGAAGCACCTGTACAGTGAGAAAGCAGAAAAGCTCTATAGGGAAGAAAGACACATTGATGTACTTTGCCATTTAAATGTTAAAGCTGAAACAAAAATGCCACCTTCTGGTGCAAATACTGTGCCCAGCTACCATTACATAAGCTCTTCACTGGCATCTTCTGAAATGTCCACTGGGGCAGGAGACATGGAGCATCTGTATAGAGACTTTGATAAGGTTGCTGCTGAGTCAGGCTATGATTTAAATCTAGCAAATGAAATTACATGTATTAATAAAAACCTATATCCTGAAGCTGAGAAAAAAGAAGTAACTTCCACTTCAGACTTAGCAATTTCTAGAGAACGAAGAGGAAGAAGTATGGATCAATGTTTCCATCAAGCAGAGTTGAAACAGGAGAAGTCATGGAGTCCACAGGTTTTGATTAGTAAGCCTACAAAAGAAGCTGAAGGAACAGGCTTTCAATCTGTCCATTTAATAACTGAGGGGAAAACACCAAACTGGTTTGATGACTCACAGAAGGAAAACCTGCACATTTCTGATTCTGCAGGTATTTCTAACCAGAAGAGTGAAGCGCCTAAGTTACCTAGTGAGTCTTCAGGTTTAAAACATGTTGTTTTCAAAATCTTTTATTTCTTCTTCTTTCTTCTTTTTGCTGCAACACTTTACCACTACGATTTGATGGTTTGTCTTGCACTCTACCTGTTCTCCTTGTGTTGGCTATACTGCAAAGGAGGAAGAAGCAAAGAGTCTCTCAAGAAGGAATAGCATTGATTGTCAACTGTGCTCAAAATTTATGGTCAATAGCCTCCAAAGCATTTCACAGCTTATTCACTGTTAGAACCAAAGAAAGTTTTCCACTAAAGCATCTTTTTTAAAATATTACATATGAAGTTGAGCCTTCGTATAAGTAATTATACTATATAGGACCATTATATTTGGATCATTAAATACCTATATGAATATGAGTTCTGAAGCACATCAAGTTAAAATGAAGTACAGTTGTTTTCTCCTTAGGAGGATATGAAGAAACAATGCTTCATATCTCTAGTACTTAAAACCACTGTTTTCTTGCATTAATTTCTTCTGCAGTAAAGCTTCATATATTTCTGGAAGGTTTTTTTTAAGACTTTGTGTAATACATAACAACACAAGGAACGATATAAAACTAACTCAGTGTTTTGGTACTGACACTGCAGTTGATAATCTGCTAGCGTAATTAGCCAGTGCTCTAAGAAATATGACATCTGTTGATAGGTTAATGTTTTTTTCCAAATTTTTATTTCACTGTTTTGACTTAAAGCTCCAGTGGTACCCTTGTTGGAAGAACATAAGGCTTTCACTTCAGTAACATGATGTAACTTTCAGGATGTAACTGCATAGCAGAATAGATGTGCTGTTTCCACCCTGAGGAGATTAAAGGCCCAGGCATTTTACTATTCACTCATGTGCAGGAATGTTTTCATTTTTTGTAAATGAGGACTGTGTAACATGACTGAGAATTTCACTGATCTGTTATTCCAGACAAACCCTTTTGGATAACATTTTTCATCAGTGTCGCTTGAGCATATCTACAAAGCATTAAATAAATTTTACAAAAGTGCTATGACAGTGTTGACCATGACTGAATTCAGTTTACTGCTTTTTTCTATGGCTTGTTACCTAGATTTGATCAAACACCAACTGAAAGCACAGGGAATAACCCTGGCTTTCAGTGAGACTACTTCCTGTGGTTTGGGTGAGGTGCAAAAGCCTGGTATCTGCCCTAAGGAAAGCCCAGATTGATCCTGTGCAGTAGGAGTCCTACAGGGCAGGCACACTGGTGGCTCCACTCTTCCAACACTGAGTGTGTCCCACATAGAGTCATGCCTGGAGATTGTCCAGAAGGAAAAGGATGGATAGATTATTTTGAGCTTCAGCCATTTCCCAGGATATTGTCACAAATGCCATCTTATGTAGTTTGTCAAAAGATACACCAAGGCTACATAATGTTACTAGAGCCCTAGAAACTATGAAGGAAAAAGACCCGGTTTTAAGCTGCATTTGTCTGTCCTCACTGCCACTGTGAAATACCACACCAACAGTAAAAGGCATGGTTGCAATATACAGCTGAAGCTATTTAGCTGTTTAGCAACCAAATAAATCTTTTAAAGTCTACTTAAAACTTATTCAGATGTTTCAGGATGTTAAGAGACTGCTGCAGGAGGCACCTTGGCATTCTTGTTCTGCAGAGGGACAAAATTTTGAAGCATGTGTGTGGGTGATCTATTGCTGATGGCTGGATACCTTGAAAACTTTTGACAGAAACCCATGCATGAGTTTCAGAGGTGGGCTAAAGGAATTCAAGAGTGACATGGAAGGCTGTATCCAGAGGTTCAAAGGTATATAGGAGCAAAATGTTCATTGAGATAAAGAAACTAATTTAGTAGGCATTAGTAGCTAGATCCAATAAAAAGCTTAGGCTTAGACTTAAAGGAGGATTGAGGTTGAATCTGTGTTAAGTCCAAAATAATGATAGCAAACACTTCTTTACAAATGTTAAAAAAACCTAGCCTTTTCGCGATGTTTACAGGTACTTTTTATTTTAAAAAGCATGGCATTCCCTTACTTTTGGCGGTTCACTTTCTCTAGCATGACAAGTCCCTGGTCTAAGTGTTTCTGAATTTCAGCCTCACTGGGATAGAGATGTCAGGTATTGCTTTGCTTCCCAGTACAATGGAAGTTCTCAAATAGTGTCTAATATATTCTGACAGGATCAAGGTTTTCAGTTAGACGGTTAAAAAAGTGAACAAAACACCCTGCATCTGTCCTGCTGAAGTGTCAGCATGCAGTCAAGTACCAGATTCTTGGGAAGAGAGAACAAGCACATAAGATGAATTTTAGCCTAATAGCTCAAACCACCATGCCAGAAATAAGAATCTTTATATGCAATGCCCAAGTCAAAACATCCTTCAATCTATGTACCCCATAACAGTTTAAAGCAAAATTCAGAAAATTAGGAGCAAGGACCAAACCCCAGGATCCTATCTTGTTAGATAAATGGTCTATTCACTAAGCCACGGGATTCAAATCCTTGTTTGAATATCTTCAGCTTTACCAAACCTGGGCCTTCCATCCAGCAGGATATATTTCAGCCATTGGACCACTATTGTTTTCAGGGGGATTCTGGTCCCTAGGGTTTAGAAATACCTCTTTGTGTAGGTGGGTTCCTACATTCTGAGCTGAGTTAAGCTGAAAGTTGTTATCTGAACAAAATAATAGCTACTTTTTCTCCAATTTGAGGGTAGACACTTTCATTTGCAGCTCACATCCCAGGAGAGTTTCCTTCTCCCAGAGATTTGGTCTTGAAAGAGGCAAGTAATGTCTGTTTCTTATAGAACTATTGATCAGATATAGTCCAAATACTTAAGCATCTGAAATAGCTAAAAAACCTTAAACATCTTGGACACAGGCCTTACTGCAAGCAGAGCTGAGCAGCTCAGCCACCATGGTAGTGGGAGAGGCTGTATTCTGTTTAATCATGGGGACTCCAAGGAGTGTGCACTCTGAGGAATCGTTTGTTCTTTTACCTGTGAGCCTTGACATGGGAACCCTTGTGTTGGTCCTCTGTATGTAATGTGCAAGTTGAAAATTGTTTCTTTCATTTATTTCAACCCAAAATATTTGGTCTGACTGGACAGCAAGAAAAGGGGTCAGGCATAATTGATGGGCCCAGGACTGTGAATGGAAATAAGTCCTTGGATTGAATCCATCTCTGGAGAATAGCAAAAAATGTTACAGAGAGCCCAGGAGAGTCAATATGACCTGCAAAAAGAATGCAGAGGATAAATAGAGAGGATCTATTAATACAGACATTCATTAAAAGTTAGTGGGCTTTTAGTGTATGCCATAATATACCTGAACCAGTTGCTAAATATCAGCTAAAATTCTGCTAAATCACTTCAATCTCTACAGAAAGTTAGCTTCAAACAGCTGTATTTCTGTGTCCAACAGGTTAAACATCTGGGTCTCCCATTTTAACACATAACAGTCATTCAGAATTGGAATTTAAGGTAAATATTTGAATGTTTGAATAGGCATATTTCATCTACATACAAGTGGAATACTGTTAACATTTCTCAGATTTGGAATGGGATTTTTTTTTCTATATTTAAGATATTTAGTCATCATATCACATCTTACTATTGCAAAACAGGACTCTAGACAGATCTGTGAACACAGGTGCCCGAACTTTTAAGTACTTACGTACTTAAAACAACAAAGCAAGTAATTTTATCTTTTTTATTTATCATTTGATAAGTTATCTTTTAACAGTCCTCTTACTTTTGTTTGTAAAATGGAAGCAACACCTTTATAACACTGGCAAAATATTCGGCTTTTTAATTATTTGAGGGAGGAAGTGCTATGTTGTGGTTTTGCAATGATTCATATTTAGCTTGCCTACTAGGCCTCAATAACATATTTCTAGTTAATGCTTTCAATTCTAGTAGCTTCCAATTATTTCTTCAGGCTATGCAACAGAAAGAAATCATAATCCTGTGTGGCTAGCCCTTGGTCATGAAAGGCCATGAACTCTGTTAGAAACCATAGATTAAAAATAATATCATGGAAAAAGGATTGCTTGCACTGCTATAGACATCCTATACTGTAGGAGGCTTTTTCCATGGCTGGTAAGCATAACATGTTATGGTAAGCATAACAAATAAATTAATTTTCCTATTGAGGCATCTAAATCTGTTGAATTTACTTAAAACTATATTCAGGGCAGCAGGGAGAGGAGTCAGAGGAAGTTCTGTATCCAGATACCTTCATAAGGGATAGTGAAAGCAAGCTACATCTCTAATGCCCCAAATATTTGTTGTTGCTAACTGCTTGCTGCTTTGTATCTGTCAGTGACTTCTGGTTCAACAATAAATAAGCTACAGAAACAAGCTACAGCTTTTAAAGGCCTATTTAATATTGGAAATGAAAAACAAAGGGGACAGAGTATGAACAAGATCCCTAAAGTTAATATGTTATTAGTTAATGATAATGTAAGAGATAATGTTCAGAGCCACGATACTAAATTTTAGGTGGTATTTACATCCTAGAATAAAAAGCCTAAGCTCTCTATTCATTGAACCTGTGAATGAGAATCAAAATAGACAATGTGTTAAATAGGGAGCTGCCAAAGTTATCTGATAGGAAACCCTGACGGCAGAGTTAAGTCTTATACCCTTGCCCTTGTCAGAGGGATTAGGTACTTAATGCTGGGTTGCAGGGACATGTTTTTATTCCTATCAGGTTTCATATACTGCAGACCTCCTGTGCAGTGAAGTACCTAAACTGCTGTTTTCAGAAACAGGACTTGGTAGAAAACAATCCGAGAGTTCTGGGACTGAAGAAGGGCAAAGTTTAAGCCCTTAAAGCATAGACTGGGACATTCATCTAAGAGGACGTACTTGCATATTGCTGTTTCAAGGAAAGCTTGTGCATTTTGTGTGAAATTCTAGTTAGATAAAATGCAAAACTGACACCAAGACCTTCATGTCTCCTAAGTGAAGTCGACTTCTTCCTTAGTCTATAAAGTCACTCTTCCAAGCCTACACCAGTGCCTTAAGAACTGGGACTCGACAGTCGTTCTAGCCATGAAGAAATCACAGGGAAAGGAGTAGCATCTCCAGTGGCTGAGCCACTGTGCTTTTTGAAGAGCTTGATGTTATAGATGTACTTTAAGGTCAGGTCCCTCCTTTTCCAGCACAGTCAACGTTGCTCTGCTCAGTTAAATTGACTGGAACAAGGAACTCAACTAGTAAAATGTGTAAATATCTAAAGACATCTGGAATTTGTGGATTTCTTTTAGACCTGCAAAGGTGCTTAAATCCCACCACAGTCCCACTTCAGAAAACCATGTCATTTTCTGAATCTCAGCTAAATTTTGTAAGACTTGAAGGTCTTTATGAGAGCACTGTCTGCAAAGGAGATCATAGAAGTATATGGACAATGACAGAATTCAGGGTGCTTTGCTATTCTAAGATGTTTTGATGCACTCAGAGTTGAGGCAGTAATCCAGAGCTCAAGTCTTCTTTGAGTACCAGAGAAGATTTTTTGACCAAAACTACATATGCCTGAGTGAGAACTGAATTTGTGAAACAGGATGTGTACATGGAAGGAAACTGGTAATTTCAGCATTCTGAGCAGGCATGAGCTAGGTGAGCTGAGTCATCTAACGACTGATGTATATGTGACTTAGTGGTATATATGAGATATGTGTATGCATACGTGTGTGGGTAGCACTAGGATAAGTGAGTGGAAAGGTGAGAACTACATTTCATGGGTGAATGGAGAAGAAATAATAAACAAAAAGGCTAATTGCAAAGCTTCTGAACAGCCTTCTCTAGAGAAGTGAAAGTTTAATAAGTTCTGAGTAGGTTAGACAATTAACACAAATATGGTATTAGATATATAAAGTAGTAAAAAATAAAGTATATGCTAACTTCTTTTTGTAACTTATCAATTACCAATTAATGGAATTATAGAGGATATTATCTTGCCCTTGACCTAAATATTCAGTGATTCAAGATTAGAACATAGCTATGAGGACCAGAAACACAGGATTCTTCTCACGGTGCTATAGCTTTCCAAGGAAATATGGCTTCCATCTGAAGCCACAAACCTGCCTTGTGGCCATTTACACAGGTAAGTAAGTCCCCAATGACATGATGCTATGGACATCAGGAGAAAACAAGAGTATTTGTCAGCCTGTGGTTATTAGTGTAGAATATAAAACTGCCTGTAAATAGTTAATCTACCACAACCCCTATGTTGTCTAGTGTAGTTCAGAGACACCTAGGAGCTTCTTTAATTTTGTTTTAGTGTACCCGGCTCCAGGAGAACACTCAGATTTCCATGGCCTACAGGCCATAAATGTGCCTTGTGCATGTGTAATGGCATGGAGATCACAGGACATACAGACTCACATGAGCCACACTATACTGGTTGTATTTATGTGGGAATTTCTTTTCTCCAACACACGATCTTTCTGGGGCTGAGTGTGTCAAGTGCTTGTGCTCCTGGCACTGCCTCCTCCAGGGGAGGACAGAAGACTGCTCCATACTGCTCTACACCCCCAGTGTCTCTGAAGAGGGGACGAGAACTGCCAAGGAATAGACAGTGAAAGACCCAGCTCTCTAATAAAGGCTCCTTTACTAGGGAGGAACACTTTCCACTCCCAGGGCAATTAGGAGCAATTAGGGACAATTAGGAGGAGCTTGAACTCTTTAAATAGAACAGTGGCCTGTTTGGGGGAACGTCTTGATCAACCTCCTCCAAAACTCCTTATTTTTTCATACAAGCTACATGGTTGTCTGTCCCTCCGTGTTGTGGATAACCCAAGACCCATGACTGAGAGACAACAAGGGTAGGAGGCATCTTGTGAAGGTTTCTTGCCTTGCTGAATGATCTAGGCTGTTGAAGGCTTGGGGCAGTTAGACACACTAAGTAATGCCTTGACCATCCTCAGAACTAAGAAAACTTATGGGAAATGAGTCAGCAGTCAAAGGGGTACTTTCCTGGAACCCATCAAAATTGCATGTTATGGGCAACAGAAGTCAGTCTTTTCTAACAGGTTATGTGTGAAAAAGAAATACTGTCTGATAAACTACTGGTTTATCCATAGCAAAGTATTTGCCTAATAAAAGGACCTTCTAAGTACTAACTAGAACTACTTTACACAATTTTGTGATGTAATTTTAGTGTTTAATCCTTTTATATGATGCAGTATTTTTGTAGAATTATGGTAGAATTATTAATAAAACTTACAAAACAGAGGGAAGAAAGGAAGAGAGAGAGAGCTGGAAAAGAGAGAAAAAAAGCAAGTAAACAAGCAGGCATAGGTCTGCATTGCTCCATAGTAGAGGAAAGATTCAGAAATAGGAGAATTATCTTCTACATTCAGGTTGAGCTTGTGATCAGCACTCTTCTCTAAGACCTACTGCACTCCAGGAAAGGGCATGAACTCGGGTAAGCCTCTTCATTTCTCCTCTTCATATATTAACAATAACAAAATCATCAGTAATAGAAAGCCAATTAATGAAGACTTTGTTCCTGTGGTCAGAAGCAATGCCTCTGTTTGCCTTGGGGGTGATGTGAGGAGGATGCTGCAGACGCAGAATGTTGGGATGGTGTGGCTGTTTGCTGGGACTTTGCTTCCACATTTCAAGTACACTCCATTATGTGACCATTATCAGTGACTGAAGTCACCTATGTCCTGGAGTGGACACTCGCCTTCAGTCTTATGCTAATGTGCATGGTAAACTGCATGTACAGTAGTGCACTGTTTTATTCATTACATGATACGTAATTTGGTATAAAATATTTAAATAAGCAGCTTGTCCTGGGTTCAGCAATAGCAGTCATGTTTCTCCTTCATGGTAGCTGGTGCAGTGCTGTGTTTTGACTTCCAGCCTGGGAACAGTGCTGGTGATACCGATGTTTTTGGTTGTTGCTAAGTGATGTTTACCCTGACCAAGGACTTTGTGAGGCTCATGCTCTGCTAGGGAGGAGGGGAA